AGACAACAGCGCCTCAGCCAGGCAGCTTCAGAGAGGGCAGAGAACAAACGATACCGTGGACATGGCGAGCAACGAAGGGAAGTGCCTGGAACACCAGGCTGCAACTGAGGCAGAAATTCTGTGTGGAGCAGATGTAAATCAAGGAAAAGCATAAACAGAAAAAAACAGCAAGAGAAACCACACTGCAAGACTCCTTATCCTTTATGGGGTGTAGGGATGTCTTCAAATGGTGTAAACACAGACGGTAAGCAAAGCACTGTTGGCGAAAGGGGCATGTCCAAAATGTTCACATACCAGGAGCTCAGGTGGCAGCTCCAGGCTGCAGGTGCAAGGCTCTTAGCCCCTCCACCCCCAGGCTGCCGCTGGGCAGGGCGGTGCCTGTCTAGGAAGTGACAAGACCCTCATCTGCCCACCACTAATGAAACATGACCCCTTTCCTAAACAAAGTGCCCCTTCCCGAGGGCCTCTGGGCTTCATGCAAGAGGCCGTAACCCCTGGGCATTCTGTGACCCGCAAACCGGATCTGTGCAGACCGATAATGTAGGTCCGGGGCCTGTGCAGAGACTCTCCTTGATGACTCCCCAGAGCCGGTGCAGTGGCTGCCCCGCACAAAGCAAATGCTAATAGGCACTGACTGACAGGAGATTATACTCCCATCAGAAGCATGCAGCTGTGTTTTCAATTCTGCTGAGTCAATATTTCCCATCGGAAACAGCTTTCCGTCTTTCAGTACTGCAGCCCTTTCTCCTCGTGCACACAGGGGCACAAAACGTATGCAGTGCCTTTTGTGATACAGGGAATGCTGTGTGTGGCAATCCAAGCCACCATCGACAGTGACTCACAGAGCAACCCTTTCCTCTCCTTGTTTGTCAGACTGTTGGGAAATCCACCTGGCCATCAGGGCAGAGAGGCTGGCTCTTCCAGTTATGGGAACAAAGGCCAATGACATAGGCCACGTGGCAGCACTAGGGAAAAGGGGCTCAGTGCCGGGTATGGCCACCGTATGGCCATGAGCCATGAGCCACAGGTAACTGTGTTAAAAAAAACTGTGTTAAAAGTCAAATGCCCATTCCTGTCACGTTAGCTAGCTTTCAGGTGATCAACAGCTATGGGCCATTGAGACTGACAACGCAACCCAGACCACCTGTAGTATCATCACAGACAATTATTTTGGACAGTGTTATCCTCAGCTAGACCTACTGTGTGGCTGGATTTAAAAAAGTATGGGGTCTACAGGCTGAATTTCCTGGACAGGCACATGACATTAGCATTAGCGATGTTTCTTCTCGAGACCAAACATCTGACAACAGCAACTTAAGGAGGCTCCTGTGGGCTCCCGGTGTACAAAGGGATAGTTCACCACGGTGGAAAGGCGTGGTGGCGGGAATATGAAGTGAAGACCGCAGGAGGCAAATGGTACTGGCGCACCCCTGCTTCCTCCTTCTACTCACTCTGGATCTCTAGACCACAGCAGCCGAGAGCATCCCATGGCTCACAGGACAAGCTCAGTAACTATGGGAATGGCTCCAGTGCCCAAGCGTTTACACACACACACACACACACACACACACACACACACACGGAATTAGGTCACGGAATGAATTATTTAGTGGGCACTTTTTTGGCACTTTTCTATTAATATGGTTTAATAAAAATACCCCCAACCAGACTGCTACTGCATGAGGGGTTTCTCTTGACCACACACACATTTCAGAACTAAATACCTGGGCAGAGGACAATCTAAGTGTTCAGTTTTCAGTGTCACTAGAGCGCCCTCTGGTGACAACACACAAGCCTTGCATGGTGGTAACTTTTACAAAGTAAGCAAAGGTGACCCTGTACATCGAATAAACAGAAACCCTGGCCGGGCGTTGGTGGCACCCACCTTTAATCCCAGCCCTCAGGAGGCAGAGGCAGGAGGATCTCTGTGAGTTCAAGACCAGCCTGGTCTACAAGAGCTAGTTCCAGGACAGGCTCCAAAGCCACAGAGAAACCCTGTCTTCAACCCCCCCCCCAAAAAAAAACCAACCAACCAACCAACCAAACCCCAGAAACCCTGTACAGAACAGACCTACACTGAGAGTCAATCCAAATATAAAATGGGTAACTATGAAACAGGGCAATCCGCATGACAGAGAACAGAACCATTTGAGCAAAGAAAGTAAGTCCCCTTTAAAGAAAGTCGACTCGGCTTATCCGCTGAGGTCTACCACGAACTTAGTTACCGGCAAAATGCAATGAGACCTGCTCTCTGGATTTGACAGTCTCGGCTTTTCCTTCTCATCACACAACACCGCCAAGCCTGAGGCGGTGCTGTAGTCGTCCGTCCCTTCACAGTGTTTCCTGCCCCCACTGTTTACCTTCTATGGTTTTCTCATGCAAGCCAGGCATTCTTTCCAGTGCTTACTTTCTTCATATTTCCTAAACATACCATCAATTGTGGCAACAGGTTCTCAGTCAAAAGAGAAACGTGATCTTGCTTGTTATGGGCAGGTTTTACAGAGTGATACTCTAAAGCCTTGCATAGGATACCACGTATGCAGGCCAGCCTGAAGAGACAGGGCTCTCAGAGGCCTTGCATAGGACACCACGCATGCAGGCCAGCCTGAAGAGACAGGGCTCTCAGAGGCCTTGCATAGGACACCACACATGCAGGCCAGCCTGAGGAGACAGGGCTCTCAGAGGGCCTTGCATAGGATACCACATATGCAAGCCAGCCTGAAGAGACAGGGCTCTCAGAGGCCTTGCATAGGACACCACGCATGCAGGCCAGCCTGAGGAGACCCGGCTCTCAGAGGGCTTTGTGGATCAGACATGATGTGGACGGGACGCTTCCTTAGGTGTCCAGCCAGGTTAGCCGTTTGACCACGGTGACCTATGATAGATAACTATCACTATTTGAACAAGGCCTAAGGGCTCCCTACCATGGAGTCTGGAGGAAGCCTCTTCAAAGACAGCCTGAGTCCGACTTACTGGTTGACCACAAGTGTAAGCATCTCCTGGGTGTTTGATGTAGATTATCCCTCAGATCTGTGCAGGACTGTAAACTACCTTTCTCTTAGGGATTTAATAATGAATAATCGGCTCTTCCATTATTCTATAAAGTGCCCCCACAGACAGGACAGCCTACTACAGTATGGTGTAACTGGCAGGAAATCTCGTTTGTTGCTGCCTTCTTGCTGACCATTCCTGGCTGTCTCTTCTGCAGAGCTAGCCCACAGCAAAAGGCTCCTCTGTGACTGAACAACTCCATGGTTTCACTCTAATCCCTTCTCTCTCTGAGCTGGGACCTGGACTGAAACACACTAAGAAGATGGGTCTTCTGGGAAACGAAATGGTTCCAGTGTGATATATTCTTTATTAAGAAACCAGAACTACATTCAGGCTTTTAAAAGACTTGTTTTTATGTGTAGGCCTGTTTGCCTACATACGTGTACCACATTTGCAGTGTCCACAGAAGCCAGAGAGCATGGGATCACCTGGAGCTGAAGTTCTAGGTGTCTGTGAGCCTGTGGGCGCTGGGAACTGAACCTGGGTCCTCTGCAAGAGCAGCAACTGCTGAGCCTTCTCTCCAGCCCCCAGTCAGATGTTCTTAAAGGACCTAATACTATAAAGATGCAATCTATAGATAAGTTTATATATTGCAATGGCAATTGAAACTTTTTATTTTAAGGTCTTTGTTTTGTTTGTTTTGAGACAGGGTCTTCCCTCTGTATAGCACTGGCTGTCCTGGAAATCACATGTAGACCAGGCTGGCCTGGTCACAGAGATCCACCTGCCTCCTGAGTGACAGGATTAAAGAAAGGTGTACGCCATCACACCTGGCAGTCGTTAATTTTTAATTGAGTGCTTGTCTCAAAACTGCAATGTTTTCCACAGAACACAATACTGTTACAGACTTTCCACAACAAAATTTCACTGACTGACTACATTTGATTTCTTCCTTTACTGCTGTTACTAAAACAGAACCGTATACTTTTCTAAAGGCAGCAACGTTCTCACTATAAGCAGCCTGTAAAACTGTGGGTGTGGTTTTTAACCTTGTGCACATTGTCTTAAAAGGAAAAGGAATCGGATAGTAAACTCTGTCATCTGCATCAATTTCTACGTCATTTCCAATACCTTAGAGTATAATTTAGAAATGAGAGCAGGCGGTGGTGGCACACACCTTTGATCCCAGAACTTGGGAGGCAGAGGCCAATGGATCTCTGAGTTCAAGACCAGCCTGGTCTACACAGTGAGTTCCAGGCCTACTGGAGCTACATAGTGAGACTCTTGTGTGTAGAAACAACCACCACACCCTGTATTCCCAACTACCTGGAATTTAGAACTCTGAAAACATGTTGCCGCACGTATCAAAATTTAGCTATATACACTTGTAGAATCCCCTACAGGGACCATTCAAAGTGCACAGGACACGTCAGGAGTCAAACTGTATCACTTTCAACACCCTGAACCCCACTGCTGACTTGATCAGGAAGGGTGAGGAGCTCAAATCTCAGCACCTTAATCCAAACAGCAAGTGACAGGTGTGTGTAGTATAATCCTTGCTTTGTCCAAATAAGCTCTATGTGGTGGTGGTGGGAGCTGCTAAACACAGAAAAGGTCCTCTGAGGGTGAAAATTAGAGGGGCGGGGGTGTCCCTCACATGTGCTACTTGCAGGCATTTCTGTGTTTGCTCAGTAAGCACTTACGGAACAAAAATAAACAGCCCAGGGAGCAAAGAGCTTGAAGGCTAATTTTCTAGAAGGGATAAAAAATTGCAGAAGGGATAAAAATTTGCAAAGCTGTATGTGTACAGTGACTACAGGGTTCCCCCAAAACCCCACTTCTCAGAGCCCTTGCTAGATTTTAAGCCAAGTTGTTCATTTCAGGGATTTTGAAGGTCAATGATGTTTATTTTCAGACCATGTCAGAATGACAAAGTCAACGTGAGGCCTTTGTAACTATGGATTAGAAAACAAATGAAGACTTAGACAAAAATAAACAACTAATGCTGCATAGTTTTGCTATACTTTATTCAAAACTGGCCCCACTTCTTATTTAAGAGAACTAAGCGACCGGTGTCCAAATATAAATATCACCATGTTCTGGAAAAATAACCTTCAGACTTGTGCTCTGACCCAAATTTGGCACAATTAAATCATATGCAAGTCAGACACAAATGTTCCCAGCTCGGCAGTAGTGAATCCTGAAAGCAGCCCATCGGTTGGACTGTGCCTTCATTGAGCGCGTGTTGCAGGGAAACCCTCAAGTCACACACACAGCTCACTGTGCACAGGGTCTTTTATTCTGTCCTGTGGGTGTCAACAGTGCGGACAGATAGACAGTGTTGGGAAAATTCAGAAAGCACACACTTGCTCTACATCATGGCTTGGTAACTACTGAACAGTTAGGTCTACTAGCGACAGTGAACAAAAGGGCATGTTTACACCATTCTCCTGTAAACAAGGCTGTGCACACAATGTAACACACAGAATTATGCATACCATGATATCGGGGAGGAAAACCTCTTTAAATAATCTATCCTATTTATAAATAAACTCTGATTTTTCTCAGTACACATTTACAGACCTGATCAATAAAAAGAAACAATATATATATATATTTTTTTCCTTTAAAAAGCAAAGGGTGAGTTATGGACCACATGAGAAAATCTGCCTAAGGAAGAGGGTGAGGAGCAAGCGAGGGCTGAGAGTGAACTCCGTGAGCACACGTCAACACAACAACAGGCCGGCTAGGAGGAGTGCATGTTTACTTGAACTCCAGCAAGTTGCAATCGATCTTGTAATAGACATAGGGGTAGTATTCCTGCTGACTCAGGTTTAGGCCAGGAATGTCCATAGGAGCCTACGGAGAAATCACAGACGCCTGTTAGGGACTTACAGGACCTTTTAGGACACCTCATCTGGGCTCAAGCTATGCATTTAAATCTAATCTGAGCTGGGCATTCACTTTGCTTTAAGTACAGCAAGAGTCCAGGCTGCTGAGTCACAGAGAAGCAAGCAAGCAGGAAGCCAGAATAAGCCCAGCTCCAATGCTGAAAGTGTTGATTGAACCATGACTTTCCTGGGTTAAATTATGTGTAAAACTGCAAAAGGCAACATTTTAAACCTTGGGTTTAGGGGACAAGGCTTATAAAATGTAGTATCCAAATAAACCAGGTGTGGTTTTAAGGATTTCAGGTCTATTTGCACCTTGGAAGAATTTACCAAGTGCATAGTTTGTACCGAAGACTTGGGATTCTTATTTTCTCCAAGACTTTATGAAAAGAGAGGCAGTTTCCCGATTTTGTCTTACCAAAAAAAAAAAACAAAAAACAAAAAAAACTAATTGTTCATTATTCAGATTCATACTGCTGTCTTAAACTAAAGTGAAAAACAAGATATTCGAAATGTAAACTGACAATGAAAGCCCGCTACCAGGGTGAGAAAACAAAAACACACACTGTTTGCCATGCGTGCTTCCTTTAAAACACACACTGTTTGCCATGCGTGCTTCCTTTAAAACACACACTGTTTGCCATGCGTGTTTCCTTTAAAAGCGGATCTGAGTGGCTGGGGCAATGACTTCGCATGAAGAGCAGTGGCTTTTCCTCCAAAGGACCTGGGTCCGATGCCCAGCACCCACAGGGCTGCTCACACTGTCTAGAACTCCAGCTCTCAGGGACCTGCCTCCTTCTCCTGGCCTCCTTAGGGTTGGGCACTCACCCATGTACCGACACACATGCAGGCAAAACACACATAAACACAGAACTTTAAACGCATTCTAGAGAAATGACAATTCCCTTCAAAATGTTCATCTGAAACAGAGAGATGGCTCACTGGGTAAAGGTGTTTGATGCCACGTCTCCTGAGGACCTGAATTTGAACCCTGGGGCCCACATGGCAGGAGGAAAAGTTACAAGCATACATCCTCCCAAAATAAATAACAGTGTAAACTACTCATCTATTGACTCCATTATTTCTACCAAACAAAATTAAAATAATTTTTTTTCTCTTGGCAATGGCCAACTAGAGGTATTGGTTGTTTCTGAACTTCTGCAGCTGTAAACATTTGATACATAGCACGATAATGGCAGGCTTCTGAAACTCTGCAGAACAGCTGCACCTAGTACATAAACAACGACTGCCCTCGCTCAGTTCCCTCCATCCCCTGACCACGCCCCTGCCTTACGTCAATAAGGGCGGCCGCACTGCTGTCTAGGTGCTTGTATAGCTCATGCAGCACTTCTCTGAGCTTCTTCACTGACTTCTTGTTAGGCTGAAGGAGCATCGCTTGGAAGTTCACGGGCAGGCCATACCTGAAAAAGCAGCAGCAACAGTGTCTGTAAGGCTCTCCACGGACACAGCGTGCATCATGTTAAATGTCCCTTTACAAGTTTGCCACCAGCCACAGAAGCTTCCACCAGCACGGGAAGAAACCTCTGAGCCCACCACAAGCCACTTCAGGCCTGTCGGCTCACACCTGTGATCTCAACCCTGAGGAGACTAATAAATAAGGCCTTGGGTGAGTATAAAGCCAGCCTGGGCTGTAGCAGAGGGGAAAGAAAATAGGTGAGCCAATCACTTGTAATTAATTAATATTCAGTTTCACAGTGATCTATGAATGTGCCCCGTACATAAAAATAACACAGGGCTAGAAGATGTTTATAATTAAAAGATTAAACTTTCCATACCTACTTTAAACATTTTAAGAAATTTAAAAATGAGAAGCATGGTTACAGGTCAGTTTTTAAATGATTTCTAACAGGAGCAACATGTAGAGAGAGGTTCAAAACACAACTGATATTTAGTTATCTTAAAAACTATACTGTACATCAAACTACACGCAACAAATCTGAAAACTTCATTTTAAACAAACCCTGGCTTTTTTTTTAAAGACAAGGTCTCACTAACTGTGTAAACTAGGCTGGCATTGAACCCAGAGATCCGCCTGCCTCTTCGTCCTGCCTGCTGGGATTAAAAGTGTGTGCCACCATACCCAAACTTGGTTAATATCTTCTAATTCATTATGCACTTAATTACAAATCATGCCACACACAGACGTATTTCATGAATACCTAAGAGCACTGGCTGACCTTCCAGAGGACCTGGGTTCAATTCCCAGCAACCACACACACAGTAGCTCACAACTGTCTGTAGCTGCAGTTCTGGGGGATCTGACGCCCTCTTCTGGACTTCATGTGGTACACAGACATCCAAGCAGGCAAAATACTCATACACAACAAATAAATGGCTTTTTTAATGGTAGTGTACCCTAATTACAAAGGAGCTAAAAGTTTCTTCTGCCTGGTGCTGTCCATCAGTGTGCACATCCCTGGGGTTTCCAGCAGAGCTGAAGCAAGCACACATGCATCTGCAGCCTTATATATATACACCATCCACATAATCGCTCCATTGCATGACACGTGACCCACCCTCATGGTAAATGACTGAGTTACTGCTCAGTATTCAGACACTGCACTCTGCCTTGGTTCAGGCCTTTCTGGTCACAAGTTTAAAGACTTTACTATAAATGGTTGTGCTGTATCACACGGCATCTCTAGACTGCATCAAAAGGCCGTGTGGGCGGAGCGAGCATGACGGTGCTTGCCTGCTGTGATGCCACTCACCAGGCTGAGGTAGGAAGATCAAAGTCTGAGCCAGCTATGCTAAAAATGAATCCAAAGTCAGCCAGGAAGAGACCGGACCAAACAAAACAAGTGATCATGTTGAGCAACGGCTACCCACAGCAACCAGGCCACCACATGGTACATTCTGTATCCCCACCATGAAGCCATTAACTGCTCAGCTCCACCCGAGCAGCAGTGTGCATCTCTTCTCCTGAACCTGGTGTTCAACGACAATACACATGACAATCTGTGTGGCCCTGACAGTCACTGCCTCGTCACTGGCTCTTTGGCTGCTCCAAATCACCATCATATGGCTGGACTATCATGAGAAAGAGGGACACTCAAGTCACCATCATATGGCTGGACTGTCATGAGAAAGAGGGACACTGAACTCTGCAGCTCCAATAGTCTTGCTTTCTTACCTTAAAACAGACTCGACGAAAACCCTTAGTGCTTTTATATGAATCCATGCAATAAACGCCTCACTGAAATTCACTTTAAGCCACCGCACAAGTGGTCCCTTTAAAAAGAAAAACACGAAATTACCACAAACTTGGTTTGCAAATGGCAATTAAAAAATTCAAACACTTTTAAAGAAGTGACTAGCCACTTTACGAAGTTCCAAATATTATACTGAACACCCCATTACCTCCCTTCAAGCTCTACCATGAAAGGTGAGCCACTACTCTGTACCCTCAGCAGACTCTAGAGTTAACCAGGCTAACCAACAGCAAGAGCCATGTCTTCAGGAAAGCACTTTAAACTGGGCTTGAGAGCGGCGGCACAAACCCTTGGACATAGAGCAGGACACTCAGCGTATGGAATGCACTTCCGGAGAACTCAGGCTGCAGCTCTCGGGACACAGCCCTTCCCGATCCCTAGCTCAGAGTTCTCTAATCTGTGAACAGGGCTTCTTCCGAGGCTCTGAAACTGCTCAGGTTTTACATTGCCCTGCTTCCATGACAATGCAATTTCTTGTTGAACTTCTATGTTCGGCATAATTAAAAACTTCTATAAAGATGTCAAACAATACCTCCCCCTGTCCACCTATAAAGACATCATTACTGACTCAGTTAACACTGAGTTAGGTAATGTATAGGATCATCTGGACGTAGCAAGCAATGAATTCAGGCAAAGAGGATACAATGAAGTGAAAAGTTCTGATCAAAATGTTTGCTCTTTGAACTGCTGTGGCCAACAGCACTGACCACACTTGCTTGCTAGAGAGCAGGGCGGGCAGGTAGGCCAGGCAGCGAGCAGCATGCATGGCTCTGTCGATACCAGACGGCTCCCTGGTACCCGAAGAAAGCCAGGACCGGACTTGGGGTCCGCAGGCACCTCCTGCACACAAAACCCTGAGCTTCTGGGAATCCATACATCCATACATAAACGTATATTTTCATCTTTTTTGAGACAAGCTCTCCTGCAGCCAAGGATGACCTGCAATTTCCTGATACTCCTACGTCTCCCTCCAATGCTGGGATTGCAGACCTACGCCACCACGACCAGTTTCTGTCAGTGTGCCACTGTGGCTTTTGTATGCTAATCAAGCACTCTACTGAGCTACAGAGTCAGCCCCAATACTTACATTTTTCTAGCACCAAATTATAAACTGTTTTTTCATGTTTCTTGCTAAGATTCCCAGGCTTCCAGTATCTCCAGTATACATTTTTCCATCTTCCTAAGACTCAAAAGCAAAATAGCTCTAAAAAGTTCAATGAAGCCCTCCAAAGGAGGGCAGAGGCTCAGGGGTGAGGACATCTGCTGTGCACACAGAAGGGACTTGCGATCAGATCCTGAACCCAGTTTAAAAAGAAAGAAAGCCAGGGACGGACACAGATGTCTGCAACCCCAGTGCTGTGGGAACTGGTGACAGGAGTGGTCTGGTGCTTGCTGCCTGCCTGTAATCTCAATGCTCTGAAGCTGAGGCAGGAGAATCTCCAAGAGCTCAAGACAGCCCTGGAACACACAGTGAGTTCTGTGGGGACTCTGGGATGAACCCTGTCTCAAAACAGTGGAATAGTAAAGTGACTAAAATCTATCTGAGAGGGAGAGACCAGAGAACTTGTGTCTTTCCCAAGTCAATGACAGGCACTCCTAACTACTTCATCTCTGCTGAACGCAGACAGCTCTGAAGAACGTCACTTACAAACTGCTTCTTCTTGTCAGTTGACAGCCTGTTCATCTCTTCCTTATCTGCTTTCATCTCCTCCTCATTATACTGGAAGTCACGAACTATGAACCTGAATTTGGAATAAAAAAACATGTTTGTCCACACCACGTGCAGCCAACCCAACAGATTAAAATCATATGCACACATTCATGAGAAGGACAGACAGACTTACTTGTTTTCTCTGGCTTTGTGTCTGAAATCATCAACTGCTTTTCTAAACAAGGTAACGTTACAAAGATAACTGTCTTGGTCCTCTGAAAGAACACTAGAGGGAGAAAGTCATTGTGAGTTCTATTTGTTGTGGAATTCAGAAACAGGAGGAAGGGAAGGAACCAGGAGCCTCCCACAGGGAAGATGGTCCTGTCTGTGACGCTCTCTGGTTAGCATGCCTTCACACCCTCTCCTACACTTTAGCTAACAGAGCGATCTGTCCACTAAGGGAAGCCACCCTCTCAGGAGAGTGATCAGGCTAGTTGGTCAGACTGTTCTTGTCTCATGGACTGTCTTTCCAGCCCAGCCCAGCCAGCACTCCAGGGTCTGGCTCAGCCTCTCCACACTGCCATCACCTCACACCCCAGGTATTCACTGTTTCCCCACCACACCCCCAATCAGAATTTCACAAGCAACAGTCTCAATGGCTCTGAATGAATACACTTCTGTGTCGGCTCCTGTTTAGGCTGTGCCATCTCAGGGAGCTCATAGCCTCCAGCCACAGCTCCATGGACATCACTACAAAGACCTTTCCAGACACAAGTGCCAGGAAACTTTAACTGTCACAGAAATGTGTAATGCCCAGTCTGATTTTTATAAATTTCTGATGAGGTAACTGAACCCAGGTACTCCCACGTGTGAGGCAAGAGCTCTACCACGGAGCTACCCCCCAGCCTCCAATCAGACAAGAAGCAGAGGAGAGGGGCGTGGTGGTGCATGCACACCTTTGACCCCAGCACTCAGGAGTTCCAGACCAGCCAGGGTGAGATAGTGAAACTTCATCTCAAACAAACACACTGAGAGACAGGAAGAGAAAGCAGTGAGAATACAAGGGGGAATTCCAACTCTCCTGGGCGTGTACCAGTGAAAAGGTTCTGACAGCACAAACCTCTTCCCTGGCTACAAACATCTGTACACACCCTAGCATGCAGCAGGATTTCAAATCATCTGATGCCTGAACCTTATATAGAGTACCTCGAAAATCTAGGCTTTGTGTACTGAGCATGAAGGTGAGAAGGCCAGCGAGATGATACAAGTCAAAGCGGTTTCTGTCACGCCTGACAACACGGAACTGAGATGGCAGAAGGAGAAAACTGACCCCTGCCACCGAGCTGTCCCCTGGCCTCCACACTGAAAACTAGAAATCCTTTGGTATGAAATGAGGCTGGGGGTGGTGGTAACCTGGAGCCCCACAAGCAGAAGCAGGACGACTTAGAGGTAAAGGCAATCCAAACCGTACGAAATGGCCCTGTCTCCAAACCAACCAACCAAACAAACAACGTGATATTATCCACATCTTTAAATATTTATTTCTGTGAGTACTGCTGTTTGCCTACACATGTTTGTGTACCGTGTGTGTGTGTGTGTGTGTGTGTGTGTGAGTGTGTGTGTGTGCAGTGTGTGTGTGTGAGTGTGTGTGAGTGTGTGTGTGAGTGTGTGTG